TTTTTTTTTTTTTTTTTTTTTTTTTTTTTTTTTTGCCTAAATATGTTTATATGAGACAATGTGTGAGTATTTATATCATTGTAAATGTATTTCTCTAAGCGGCGCTAACAACGACAACAACAATTAATTATTATATTCAATCATATATGTATTATTAATTTTGGTGGGCAGATAAAGTTTTCTATTGTTTATTTTTGTATATTTTTACCTTTTTTTTTTTGCTCTGCAGATAATTTGTATTCCCCTTCTCGACAAAATTAGCGGTTCGATTTATATTTCAGTGGTCAACTACAATAATTGTTTCAGTTGACGACTACCACAGCAACTGTTATTGCCATTACTACTACTACTGTAACTGCTATCATTGTTTACTACTTTTATTACTCTGTTACAAGTATTCCCAGTGTTACTACTGCTAGTACAATCACGACATCAGCCATCTTCTACAAATTGTTGCCGAAGTCGCCGTCGCTGTCGTTCTTGTCAACAGTAGGAATTTTAATTGATTAAACTATCAGTGTTTTAAAAGTATATTGAAGCAGGGGAAAGAAGGAAAGAAAATATAAGATGGCGAAAACAAGGAAAGCGAGTGAAAAAAAATAACTTCTTTTCTTTCACTTTTTAGCTTTTTGAAGGTTCTAATTTATTTTTATTTTTATTTTTTTGAAGAATCATCTGCAATGAGACGCCAGTTGTTTGTTATTCGTTTTGGATAATTGTTTCTCTTTTTTTCTTCCAATTTTTTTTAGATTTCCTCATCTGCTTTATTTTATTGATCCGCATTCTTTTTTTTTCTTTTCGTTTCATTTTTTTCTTTTTTTTTGCAGCAATTTAATATATTTTTGGTGGAGGAAGTCGTCGTTGTTGTAGTTGGTAGTTGTCGTCGTTGTTTTCGTCGTCATCGCCATCACCATCAAATCATCGCATTCGTTGTTGTTCGGTATCTGTCGTTGCTGTTGTTTCCCTTATTGTTATTGTTGCGGTTGCCGTTGTTGTTGTTGTTGGCGGTGTTGGAAACGTTAACGACGGCTTCAGCGAGTGAAGAAGTGGAATAAGGAGGAGGAGGAGAAGAAGAAGAAGAAGAAGAAGAAGACGGAGAAGTAGAAGAGGAAGAGGAAGAAGAAGAAGACAGGAGAACAGAAGAGATACAGAACTGTGGTTGGCAGGTTTATCTGTTTTGCGTTACGATGAGTTACAATTATCTGTTTAAAATCGTTGTGGTTGGTGATCACAATTGTGGCAAATCCTGTATTCTGCTAAGATTTGCTGAAAATTCCTTTCGACATGATCATATCAGCACACTGGGCGTGGATTTCAAGCTAAAAACTATCAAATTGGGACGGGATCGAATACGTTTGGAACTCTGGGATACAGCAGGTTTGTTCTTTACTTCTTTCTTTTTCTTTTGCACTATTTTCTAAATTTTAACGTATTATTCGACATAATTTTTCTTTGTTAAAATCTTTAATTACTTCTATCACATTATTATTATCTTTTATTGTTATCATTACCATCATAGTCATTATCATTACTATCACTTACGGCCGAATTAAATGTTTTTTTTGTCTCGTCAGCTTCTCTGATAATAATGCAGCTAATTGGCTTTTGCAAAAAAATAGTCAGTTCAGGGACGTGGATAGGAGGGATGTGGGAAGCGAAGAGGTTATTATAAATTAATAAATTTTGCAATTTCTTAACCAGATTTATGATGTTGACTGTTGAAAGTCCGTTCCTCTATCTTTAATTCTTCCAACTGTCTTATCCCTACTTTTATTTTTCTATTTTTTCTTGTTTACTTTGCTTCAGATACGACTGAAAAAAGGGCTACAAAATTGTTTATGATTTTAATTTAATGGTAATAAATCTGACCGTGTTTTTGATTTTCTGCATTGTGGCACGTGAAAGAACCACTTTAGTAGAACTATTTGTTTCCCATAAGTTTGCCAAATAGACTTAATTTAGTAGCTTAGCTGTGCTATATTTGTAAAAAGTTTCTAGGTTAACGGTAAACCTTGGCAGATGATCGTTTGCAGGTTTACCAGCTTAAATTATTTCTATTTTAAAGATTGATATTTATTTGTTTGTGCAGTGGTTGTGTGCCTGTGTTTGATTCGCTGTAAAAAAGAAAAGTCATATAACGTTTCTCCTATATATATATATTTTTATTTCCTCGTTCTTCTTCTTTTTTTTTAATTGATAGTTTTGATATA